TAACTATTTTTGACATAAAGAATTAATTTTATGGAAAACACTGTACTCTTATTTTTAAAAAATTTTAAAAAAGAATCCCTGGGACCAGCAGGCAGCATAATAGTTATGTCACTGGACTCTCATGTAGTCAACCACAGTTCAAGTCTCAGATCCAGTGATTTAAAACTGACCCAGGTGTGTGTGTGTGTGTGTGTGTGTGTGCCCAAAATCTTGAGAGGAGGCTGGAGGAGAAAGGATTGTGGCATGGCCTTCCCCGCAAAGGAGGGGTGATTTTTTGCTTTCTGTCTCTCTGTCTCTGTCTCTCCAGTATGAGCACACATATCCTCTAGTAAAAATCTCTCTAAAAAAAAATAATAATAAAAGGGACCAGCAGTTGGCATAATGGCTATGTCACTGAACTTGCATGTAGTCGACAGCAATTCGAGTCCCAGACTGGTGGCTTAAATTCACGCCAGGCGTGTGTGCATATGTGCTCAAGATCCCGAGAGGACAATGGAGGAGAAAGGATTGCAGGGTGGCCATCCCCACTGGGAGGTGATTTCTTGCTTTCTGTTTCTCTGTCTTTCTGGAGAGCACACATGCCCTACAGGGAAAAAAGAAAACTCTCCAAAAACAAAGAAAGAGGGACCAGCAGTTAGCGTAATGGCTATGTCGCTGGACTCCCATGTAGTCGACCACGGTTCACATACCAGACCCGGTGGCTTAAACTCACGCCGGGCGCATGTGCGTGCGTGCCCAAGATCCCAAGAGGAGAATAGAGGAGACGGGATTGCATCGTGGCCATCCCCCCTGGGGGGTGATTTCTTGCTTTCTATCTCTTTGTCTCTCTCTGTCTGTCTGGCGAGCGCACGCACCCTGTAGCAAAAACCTCTCAAAAAAAAAAAAGAAAAAGAATCCCCAGTGTCTCACGCAGCTTCCACTCCAGTATTTCCTTCAGAGATGAAACAGTCCATCCTGTACTCATGCAGTCACTCTGTGATGAAAGGTGACAAGTGTGGATGACAACTGCCGCTGGAGCCTGACTGTCCTGAACACTTTTTTTTTTTTTAATTTTTTTAGAGAGAGATTTTTGCTATGGGGCACATGCAGTCGCTGGAGAGACAGAGACAGAAAGACAGAAAGTGAGAAATCATCCCCCCAGGGGATGGCCGTGCCGCAATTCCTTCTGCTCAAGTCTCCTCTCGGGATCTTGGACCCTTACACACACACCCGGCATGAGTTTCAGGTCACCAGATCCAGGACTCGAACTGCGGTCAACTACATGGGAGTCCAGTGACATAACCACTACACCATCTACTAGTCCTGCCCGGGACACGTTTCTATATCCTCCTATGCTTCTGTTTCTCCATGCACAAACTGGACATACAAACTTCCTGTCTCACAAGGTTTGGGTGAGGCTTAACTGTACGTGAACAACACCCAAAGCTGAGCCTGAACAGAGTCAGTACTGCACATTTGCTGCTGCTGCTCCTGCTGAAAACTGTCAGCAAAACATAAGAAACCTAGGCAGTGGCCTGGAAGAGAAACCTGAGAGGAGGCATTTCTAACCTTTTATTGAGGAAGGGCTACTTTTCATTTCCCTGAGTCCTGAATCGCTGGAGAGGAGGAGACAGAATGGAAGCAATAATCCAGCCAGTAGGCGTAAGGAGAGGCCAGCTCCACTGGCTGTGCTTCTCTGCCTGCTGGGAAGCAGAGGCGCGACAACAGCAATTAGCTTGGAGACCTACCAGGAAGAGCATTAAGATCTAGATTTTGGCACTTCACCCTTAGAGCGTTGATGCAGAAGCAACCATGATGTCCTGTTAGGAAAACCTCCAGATGCCACACCAGTGTGGTAGACACCAGCAGACCCAGTTGTGCTACACACAGAGAACACCAGAAGCAGCACCAACCCCTCTGACATGGTGCATAAATGCATGGGGCCCTCCCCATGAAATGAAGCTAGTTTCTCCAGTGTCCTAAAGTATACTGTTTCCAAAAATAAAAAAAATAAAAACAAACAAAACATGTAACACTTAAATCAGGTTAAAATAGCATCAGATCAGATAAAGATTACAATCTTACCAGCGCTAGCTACATCAGGTTACATTTTAACAATGAACACATTTTAAACCACTAACTGAAACTCAGTTAACAATAACTTGTCTCTGTATATAATGTAAATTATCCAGAATAAATTATAGCATTTAAAGCTTCTCTATTAAAAAATGAACAAGAGAAACATGCCAAGTACTATGAGGTAATAGCACCAATCTTGGTAAAAACCAAGGTTACCCTGAGTTATCAAAAAATAAAGCAATATTCTGAAAAATCTTTCACACAGGAAAAAAGAATTAACCTCTTACCTGTATCAACCTCTCATCCTGGTTCTACCTACAAAGAGTACTTGCTTTTTTGTTTGTTTGTTTTTCTTTTCTTTTTTTAGGTTTCTGCCTAAAAACATGTGCTCACCAGAGAGAAACAAACCAAGATGGAGAGAGGGAAAGTGATAAATCATCCCCCGGGAGGGTGGTGGCCAATAGCCATGCACTATTCCTTCTTCAGCCGTCTCCTCTGGATTTTGGTCATGCACACACATGCCTGGGTGATTTTCTCAAGTCACTATGTCCAGGACTCCAATCACCCTAGGCCGTGTGGGATTCCAGTGTCTTCACCACCACGCCACCTGCTGGCCCCTATGGGTACTTTCATTCACATCTATTTCTTGCCAACCGTCATTCATTTCCCACCATCTATTTCTTGACAATTGTTTATTAATTAAATCATCGCAAGTCTTGCCACCCACTCCCCCACCTCTACCAACCAGTGATTATTTCAGGAATGGTCAGGCCATGCCAACTTGGGCCACTAGGAACCAAGGAGAAGTTCCTTGGGAGATTTAAGAAAAGAAACTTCTTGTTTCCAAAGAGTCATCAAAAGCTATTGTCTATCACCCTCATACTTATTCATAGATAAGCAAAAAAATCCTACTTTAAACAAGCTGATGCGCATAACAGTTTTATTAAAACAAGTTATGGACAGTTATGAAATGTTTCCATAACTTAAAATTATTTTTATACTTTTATCTTTAATACTTATCGATAGAGCAGGAATTTGATGAAAGCATTACAGAAATATCAAACTCTCAACATAAAACTTTCATAGCCCTCTTAAAACAAGACAGCATTACTTCTCAGGAAACAAAAAAAGTAGGACTCGTTAGACTCAAAGTATTCGTCACAGGCATACTAAAGTCACAAAAGGAGAAGGTTAATGATCTCTACATGGTTGAGTTTAACTTTCAAAAAAAATCTTTAGAATTTGCTGCCAATTAGTCATATAAAATGGATTAACTGCAACCTATACAAGAGTCAAAATTGTTTACTTTAACCATTTATTCTATTTCCAACTTTACCAGGCTGGATAAGCTGTTAAGGGAAAAAAAAAAAAAAAAGCTCTTTCTAAAAAGCAGTGCCTTAAACAATAACAACAGCAAAAAGAGTATAAAAGGAGGACAGAAGTCGAAGATTGAAACTGGAGTAACGAGTTCGTGAAGTGTGGAAGAGGGCAAAGGAGGAAGGAGGGCGTCAGCCGCTGGAAGGCTCCATAGAAAGGTCATGCTCTCTGACACACAGACGGGGTGTTACATAAGGTAGATCGATCCTTCTAGCACGATCACTTTACCATGCCTTTTAAAAGGTACTGAATTCAGGTTTTCCAAATGAATTTAGCCTGTTTTACAAACACATCAGGTGAGCACTATTCACATAGCTTAGGTAATTTTACAGTAGGGCTACTTCAAGATGAACTCAGACCATAAATACACGAGAGAAGCTGCTTCAATGGGAGCTGATAAAACAATGTATTAATATCCCCTCAGCAAAGTGGACTTGGCTCGGCCTGGAAAGACTGCGAATAGACAAACTTCATTTCGCACAGAGAACAAGCCACCACCTCTTTAATAGGAAGCAGCTCCCTAGGACCTAGAATGACTTCTTGCCCGTGGATAAACCTGAGGTTAGAATAGTAGGTGGGGCTGAGGGAACCAGGCGTGGGTGCGACCTCCTACCTAAAATTAGCCATGCCCATTTCACCACAGCTGGGTTAGGCTCCTCTATTTTAAGGTGTGCAGCTCCAAATTGCCTCAGAGTATGTCATTGCTGGCTAGTTTCTGGAACCCAGAGTCCCGGCAGACTTTCAACTACAACTCTTCTCTGGTTGCCTTCTCTCCATAAAACCCCACACTTAATCATCATGCTACCTGGGGCCAAAGTACACCAGGTGACCTAAGTACACTGGAGATGCTCGTGAAGACACACCACGCAAGCTCACTCATCAAGGAAATAAGCAAGGAGAAATATTCCTTATTATTTTCTGCTACTTCCATCTCCCACCCCAACACACATGCACATGTAACAATACAACCAAAGTGAGAAAAAAAGCTGACGAAAATCAGAGACTAACGTGTTCTCATCGTTTCAGGAAATTGTACAGAGCTGATAACTGAAACTCTTCCAAGTAATGTCACACTATTGTTTCCCTCCTTCTGAAGCTGTGCTACTGGCATACAGCCAACGGAAGGGGCTACCCGGTCTGCAGTCAGCACTCCGGAAACATTAAAAGGGAATTGGTGTAGCTCTCGCTGGTCCTGGCAGGAAAACATGCACCCTTTTTTTTTGTTGTTGTTGTTCTAAATATAATAAAAAATGCTAACATTTTAAACACGAATTAAAGAGAAAAAGACATGTCTTTCTACCCCAACTAAAAACATGGTAAAATTGAGAGATGAGCAACACACACAGCTGGAATTCAAGCTGCCCAGATAACAGTCCTGATTTCTGCAACCTTGGGGCAAAGACCTGGCACCTTTATTAGCAGCAATATGAGACACTTGAAGCAGAGAACACACTTAGTACTATTATTTTCCTGATATTATCGTGGGCCAGGAGCTCATAATATTACACTTGCTTTGACAGATTCAATCAATAATTTTAAGAATTAACAGAACACAACACACATACCTTCTTTTTCAGAGGCATGGCATTTCACTTTCAATACCAAGTCAAATGTTCTCTCTGGATTTTCCCTAAAAGAAACAGAACTTTGTCAGGTTGATTTCTTATGACCAAGTTGCATCTCTGTAAAGCTTGTATTTTCTTTATTTTAAAGCTAATCTTCTGATCTCAATCTATTCCATGTAACCATACGAATACAGAAATAGCAGAAATCGTGTTTTCTCACCACTTAGCAGCTGAAGAGAACTGAGCCTTAGGCGTTCTAGAACTTGGGCCAAGCATTTCAATTTTGAGATTCTTTTCTCGCCTATCAGTGTTCTGTCCACTTTATAGAGGAATTATCCGTTAAAGAATATACATGCAAGTATTTTATAAAGAGCTGTACTAACACAAAGCATTGCTTTTATCTTACTGCGTCAAAAATGGGAAAGCCAGTGTGTCCCTAAAAGGCTTTACACCCTGCGAACGAGCTCATGAAGGCTTTCTTCAAGAACCTGCCAAGTTACTGTAAATGAAGGCCAACTGGGTCCAGGCCCATGCTCCAGACCTAGCATTACAATGCGGCATGAAGGTGAAAGGCGCACCTACTTCTCTAATATAGGTCCTCCACTTTATTTAGCACCTTTAAACTAGCCAACTATTTGTAGACGCTACCGCTAACAGAGACCTGTTTCACATTCATTATCTGCGGAGAAATTGGACCTGGGCCTTCATACTAGACCTTCCCACCAGGAAGAGTTAAAGTGACTTGGCGTCATGCAACAGTCATTAACTTTTTTTGTTTTTTTACCAACTTCTCATACACATTTTACCTATTCGTTGGTTAAACTCCAAAAAGTGAACTGAAATCGACTGAAACACTTCTTGTTCACAAAATAGTTGTTTTCACCTCTTTCCATGAGAAGATTCAAGATGAAGCCAAGTCTGACACCACAATGTCCAAAGTGTCAGTACCTACATTTCAGTTCCTCCTGCCAACAAGACCTGTGTTCTGTGTACTGGCTGTTTGTAACGTGCAATTTCCTTCAAGAAACTGGGACTAGCTCTAAACTATAAATAAGCATGCACTTTTAAAATTGTTACATGAATCTAGAAGTCTTGGTAGTGACACACCATATAAATGAATCTGTAAATACTCATCTCCTCGGCCCCACTATTAACTTCTTTAATGGGCATGATAATCTGGACTCAGGTGTCTTCCTCCTCATAATACGATTAATGCCAAACGTATATTTGACTCATTAATCCTGCCCACCATGACATCACACAGTCAAGAAAATCCTTCTGAGAGACCTCATTGTCAATTTTCCTAGTAGTCTTCAGGGACCCTCTTAAGTGTAAAAGTTAAAGACTGATTCAGTTGCACATTTGTGGAATGTAGAAGGCCTTTCACAGTGATACAAAGATACCGGACTGTCATTATTTTAAACTTTGGGGGAAGGTGTCAGAGAGGAGTTGGTGGGGTGAAGGAAGGAAGAACGAATTCTTTTCAGAGTAAGTTTCAGGCGAAAAACATACACTCATCTCTCTAACGTACTTACAAACAAAATCACCACCGTTATACAAATTGCTTTTTACCTAAAATAGCCATGGGTGTGCAGGCTTCAACACACACACACACACACACACACACACACACACACAAATACTGTCTAATTGTGTGCCAATTTGCAAGCACGGTGCATGCACACGGTGCCTCCTAAACAAACAGCAGCGATCAGTTTAATTTCCTAAGAAGACATTCAAAACAAAACTGATAATACACTTAAGAAAGAAACGGTTATCTAATTGCTAGGAGAGCACTTCAAATAACAACCGCTTAACCTCAGCGCAGCCTCCCTCCTCCCGGGTCCCCCCACGCAGACACACAGACACACACCGACGCACAGACACGGGCGGGTCCCGTCTGACACACTGGGAGGGCGGAGAGCCACCGCGGCGGCTGCAGGGCGCCCAGCCTCCCCCGGCCCAG